TTTTTTTTTTTTTTTTCTATCGTGTATATATATAATCACAGGCTCCAAATGTTGTTGGATTTGTATTGGGAATATCGCAGACAATTTTGTATGCTATATACAGGAAGAGAAAGCAACTAATAATTCTACCTGAAATTAAGTTGCATGATATAGCAACTGTCGAAGACCGAAAATCACAAGATCGCATGCAGAATCCATCAAAGGTGGAGATTGCAGAAATGGTAGATCACTGTCAAGGACAGGCCCGCAGAGGAACAGACTTTGAAGATAGCATCATAGAATATGGTGCAGAAATTGAGACCACTGTGATCATGGTCACAACTCACATGTAGAGAAAGTCTGTCATAATTATTTACGAAATATTAAGAAGTTTACTGTTGATGTGAAGAAAACTCATTTTAATTTCAACTATGTGGTTAATAAAAATCCTAATTACTTAAGTGGACAAGTTTCGAGTAAATTATATTCTTTATTATCGAAAATAAGTGGGATAGATCGTGATGCTACAAAAAAATCTGCATCGGCTAGATTTCGAACTGGATTCTTGAATATCGCATGAACAGATCTTCAATATCTAAAATAAAGGCGCCGATGTGTGTCTTCGTTGCCCCTCCAATGCTTAAATTAGAGAGAGAATTTATACAAGAGGTTGTGTGCTAAAAATTATGTAAAAAGTGTACCTGAATAATGAACTTTGATACTGTATTTATAGATGTTGGTAGTTGAGTTCAAAAATGATCAAACCATCTGTAATCTTTATCCTTATCATGCATGGTATTTGTGTAATATTGAAAGTGTCCTGTTTTGAATTTAAATCAAACTGTGATAAGTGTGTAGCTTGGATGAGGATAAAAGTTATGTAGCAATTAAAGTGAGATTAATGTTTTTAGAAAGTGTGAATTAAGGACAAGAAAATCGGTTTTATGAAATATCTAGTGATGGCAAAAAAAACCCGCCCCGTCCTGACCCGACCCGACGGGTTGGTGTGGCAGGGATGGAGACAGGGGTGGAGCCAGAAATGTAACTTAGTGTGGGCACAATTTATCGATGTTGAATGTCAAGTTTTTTGTTATGGATTTAATGATGATAAAAATATAAAATTATATTAGACAATATTAAAAATGACATAATTTATAAATTACACTCGTTCCTTTCGAGTTTTCATATTTTGATATTATTGTACAATAACTTTATTATCGAGTTTCAAAAATATATCATTCTCTACATAAACAATTGTGTTATCATTCTTCCACTGATTACCCATCCGATTATTTAATCTATCCTTTACAATACTCATTGAAGAAAAGACTCTCCATAGTAGTGGTAACAACTGGTAGAATCAATACTAAAGTCAAAAACTTGTAAATCAATGGATATACCATATTTTTCTTTGTCAGAACTAACTTTTCTGCAAGATCACCAAGGCCGTTCAACCCTTCAAATTCTTTGTTAGAGCGCATGTCAAAAATATAAGTCCCCAGTTGATCATGAAGTACAACAAGATCCACTGGAGAGTAATCTAATGGATAAAGCTCAGCAAGTCGAATCAAACTTTTCTTGTCAAAAGAAGAAAATGAATCTTGTGGACATAAACAAGCTATACACATGAGTAACTCTGTATTTACCTCTGAGAATCGATCATTCAATTCTTGAAGTTGAAGATCGATGACAGAGTAGAACAAATCGACCTGATAATGATGTAAATTTGTAAGTTCTGGAGGATTCCGTTGTGGGCGACCACGAAGTGCACGACGTACAAACATTTCATCCATGTCGAGTACATCAATATAATGCTGTTGACAGAAAGAACATACTTCTTCCAAGAAGGAGTCCCACCCTTCATCTCTCATTAGTTGTAGTCGTTGTTTGCATAACTTCACCAATTGCATTGCGTTCACAATGTCTTGATCTTTCCGTTGTAATGATTTTGACAGTTCATTTGAAATCCCTAAGACACTTCTCATCAATTGTAAATGAAATGCAAAATCAAATGTCTGTATCGACTCCAATAAATTTGTCGCGTCGGATCTTTGGTCACAAGAACAAGAGTCATCCTCAACAATCATTGTAAGTACATCAATAACAGAAGAGAACAT